AATGTTATTTTTGACAACTATAATCTATTGCTGGCTGGGCTCAACAGCATCATAGAGCTGCTGTTAACATCATCATCTTGTCTTTGACCTGGGGTTACACATCATGTATCTCTGTCTTCTCTTTGCTGTGCCACACAAACTCTTACTGCTTTTAACCTCAGCTCAGTAAGGTCTTAAAGACGTTTCACCCCTTCTTCCCAGGCATCAGCAGCAGGCTCAGAGGTGCCCTTGGGGGCTGTGCAAGCTTGGTGGCCTGTCTGCTGAAGAGCCACAATAACGTTCATGTGCTAAGAAAGGCCTTCCTTTCTAATTACCTAGTTTTCTACCCATGGGGGTCTTGTACAATCTCAATTTCAAGATCTCTGCTTCAGGGACTTGGTTTTTCATTCACAAGACTCTGCACAGATTACAGTTTCCACCCATTTTCCTTGTTGTCCAAGCAAACAAACTGCTATCGATGTACTACTACGTATTCTATCAACTGTTTGTTGATATTGTTTGAAGTACTATTTATTCTGTATGAATAAAAAAACCAAACCAAGGAGCACTGTTGATCACTATTGATCAGATAGAGATATTAGCTTGTATTTCAATTCACCAATTGGGAGAGCTCCGTTTTTAGATTTTTCCTGCACAAATGCTGGAAACTCTCCTTTTGGAAAATATACTGCAATATTTGCTCCAAGTTTGTTGTTTTAGCAGACAACCCTGCCAGTATAACATTTTGACCAAAAATAACCATGGTAACAAATGCAGAAGGCTAATGAGCACAAAAAGTTCAAAGTTGTTTCAACTACCCTTGTCCTGGCCTACTTCTTGTCTGTGCATCAAAAATCCTTTTAGGATAACCACAGCTGTTTAAATGATCTTTTTTTAAACCATTAGTAAATTAATGCTTCTTTCTTTTTGGTATTTAAAAGTGAGATGAGACCTCCTAGTAGGACTGAGAGGAACATTTTGAGCTTTTCTTTCTCACCCCTTAGAATGCTGGGAATGCTGAGGTACAAAGAGAGGAAACACTCCATGTGGATTCTGGTATACCACAATTAAGAAGTTGTTTTGGCACTGAACACAGGAATGCAAAGCCTGTCTTGTATTTTGTCCTACATTAATTAAATGCAATAGTTTTTTAAAAAAATTCTGTCTAAGTTTCCACTTGAAGTTTCACACAGATGGTTCTTGTAGAAGCTGAGGGCTTGACCTAACCTAGTTTTGCATAAGACACAAGGCTGTCTTAGCTCCATGTTTACACTGGTACTTTAAAGGGACATATATGGATCTTGTGAAATCTGTTAACAGAGAAACTTAGCAGATCACCACAGTCTTTTGAGATGCTTGTGACTTAGCAGCAAGTCAAGTATGGCCCTTGTGCCAGGGCTGTAATACAGATGTTAATTACTTCAGATTTTTAGTCGTAAAAGGAAATTAGGGACCATTAGGGATTGCTGAAACTAGTGTTGCCTGGTGAGATGCAGCTGTGTGCTCAGCCCCAACCCATCACACCGTGGGGGAGTGGAATCCCCTGGAGTGCTATCAGCGTGTTACTGCCAAAGCAGCAATCCCACAGATTGCGTTCCCTCAGCTCTCTGAGGTAGGTAGATCTTGGCAAGCTAGTCTGATGTCTTAGCCAAACTGTGCTTCCCAAGAGTTCAGCTGTCTGGCCTATACAAATCTGACTTTGGGTTCATGCAGTTAAAGCACAGCAGTCTCTGTGGCTGGTGGCACAGGCAGGAGTGACACAGCTGACATCACGTCTCCCTTCCTAACGTTTTGCCTTCATAGACAGGGTAGGCATTAACAGCAGGGTTGCTCCTGCAGAGAAGTCTGGTATGATGCTCAAATTCACATGAGTGGACCTAAAGCAAGAGCCCCCCCCCTCCCAGGGTGCTGGTTTGGCTCCTCCCTGGTCCACAAGATGTTCACACCTCCAGGAGGGGAAGTCTCCTTCCAAAAAACACCTTTTGTTCACAAGACACTGTACCAAAGCAGCCCTAGGATGGAGCCCCTGTGCAGTCACAGAGTGACAGCTCTCACACAGATGCTGCTTACAAGCACTGGCAGACCATTCTATTTTGTGGAAATTTGAATGATACTTTGACCATCATTTATTTTTCTTTGAAGGGGCCATAATCTCGGAAAGGGTCGAGTGAACACCATGAAATTTGATTCTGGATATTGGCAAGGAAGACAAGAGCAAATATAAAGATACTTACAAAAATACCTGGGGTTTTTTGTATTTTTTACCTAATCAGAAGCTGCTAAACAAGAAGTTTCCAGAAGGCTCCAAAACATTAAGTCAAACTAATGTGACTAAGCACCCTTACTTTGGTATTTACCTCAATTTCAAAATACTTCAATCATTTAGTACCTGAAAAGTAACCCAGCTATGAAACCCTGCCATACTGTATAAGTGCTCTTTGATGAAAATTACACCACACCTTATTAATCCCTTGCGGGGGCAGGGCGGGGGAAGTTAAAAAAAAAGAAAGAATACTCCTTTAACTAAAGCCTGGAATGACTCGCAGCCAAATAGATGACGCTTGAGCAAGTATGCCTAAGTACAGTACACTTCACAGTTCATCTTGCTATTAGTCATACTTAAAAACCACGTATTTTAAACTAGCATTTAATAGGTATGTCCACTACGCATCTCCTGGATTAATCTTCTCAATTACAGATGTCCCTGAATAGGCATCGTGTTTTCCACAGTCTCATGACATTAATCAAACAACACTCAGTGCAAACTCCATACCTCCCAAATACAATCTGAGTTTGTGAGTCAGCTCCTCACACTGTGGCACTGTCGAAGGAAGACAAGGATGGCACTTCAAAGGCTCACTTACAGGAAATCTGACAGTAAAAGCACCTAAAATAGTTTTTTCCAGATTCTAGATATAGGGAAAGCAATATGTAGCATCCCAGACTCATTTTGCTGAGTGTGTTTCAACACTGAAACATACAGAGCTCAGAACTGCAGGGTATCAGGTGTCCATTGAATACAAATGTTTTTTCTGTACAATATTCAAACATACAACAGTTCAACATGACAATCATAGAAAGCAGCTTACAAACAACACTAAAATATTATTAAAACGTGTATTGCTGCTACTGTAGTAGCTTATGCAAATGCAGGCTGCATTTGTATTATACTCTGTACAAACATCATGAATAGGAAGAATCTTGCCCCCAAAGGGGTACAACCAATATATTTCAATTTTAGCACACATTCTCAAAGCTTTAAGCTATTCTTTCTTTCTATTGATATACCTTGTCTCTGTTCCATTGCAAGATTTTAACTTTCAAATGACTAAACTTATGACTGAATGCTGAATACATTGTCCTTACCATTATGTTACAGCACATTACTTTTAGAAGTAGATTGGTGGTATGACTAAGAGAGCAGTTTGTTTTTCCACTCTTATTCTCCAGGATATACTCAAAATTCCCTTTCTGAACATTCATGTTAGGCAGCTTACACCAGTAATATCTGTGAGAAGCAAACACGAAAGGTAAAGGAACAACTATTCAGACTTTTAAAAGCACAGCAATAGTTTCAGAAATACTTTTAAAATATGCAATTCATTATGCTTACTCATGTGTTTCAGAAAGCTGCAGTGATGCTTTCAGCTTTTTTACCTTCTCTAAGTTTATAAATTTAGGAGCAATGAAAGCTTACTTCCTTTTGCAAAGGAAGTTTTCAAATTACTAGACCAGCACAACAGTTTTTAAAGGTTTGCAAGAGTTTCTACCACTTGCTATGGGGAAAAGCAGACAAGCTGCTGGGTTATTTTTTCTTTTGCTGAAAAATTGAACCATGATTTTCACTATGTGTTTTCCTTCTCATACATAACTCCTAAGGACAGCAGTCAGTTATTCAGGACAAGTAATTATTCTGTCAGCAAATAATGGTTTTAATGTTTTTTAATGTTCTAATAGAGGAAAATTTTACATTAATTAAACTGTTCTTGACCAAGTAAGCTATGCAATAAAATAAAAGCTACACTTTGCAGGTCCCACAAAACAGAGAACTGACAGAGCACCCAGTTATTAAACGTGACACCAGCTATAATTGTTTTAAAATATCACATGTAGCCATGTGCTGGGGAAATCTTTCTGTGACCTGGATCATATAAAATAGTCAAGAAGTTTTCAGATGGTTTCTATATTAGATGATGCTTTTGCATTTCAGGTGACAATATGTTTTATGCTACAGTAGCATTGATTTTTCCAGAGATGACAGTTTTTTGGTGACAGTCCAAACTCACAGGAGAACCCTCAGCCCAGCGAAGTGATGTGTTCCAGGAAGGTGCAAGCAGCCCTGGCGCTGTCCTGCTGCAATATAAGGATGCTGTGCTTGGGCCTACCAGGGGAACCCAGTACATCCTCCACATTAATGACCATGAGCCATTTGGAACGGGAGGGTTGTCTAACCCATTTCATAAGAATAAGGGAATTTATTACAGCAAAAACCAAAATGTGCCATGGAAGCCCAAATTCCATATGATTAATTTTAAAGCTGGAGATTCCTGCAGACACCTCACACAGTATGCTTTAAGCTGCACTTGCAAGAACTCACATTTTTCTCCTCTGTTGCTGGCTCCATACCCCCTTTTGAACTTTTTTTACTGCACTAAAAAAACTTAACAAAATTTTTCATGATCCCTTTCCCTTTAAGCTGTGCAAGTGTGTTCAGCATCATTTTTTCTTCTGTTAGGAACTAGTTCTCAGGGACACTTTTTTTCCCTTTGAAAACAAAAAGCAGAGGGGAAACATTAGGGGGAAATAGGAGCTTTGGCTTGCAGCTTCTTTTAGGGGTTCTGTCTCTGAGACCTTAAAAAAAATACAGGAAAGGGACAAGAAAATGTGAGTTCTTCCTTCCTGATATTTGCTTTCTACTTCCCGAAGGCAATGGCTTTGTCTTTAGCCAGTAAATGTAAGCAGCAGAGAAAGCAAAATGTAATCAATACAAAGACTACAGTGTCTACTTAATGTCTTTCCAGGTGCTTTTCTTATTCCCTATATCCTCTTCTTAATCATTGCGGGAATGCCCCTGTTCTATATGGAATTAGCACTGGGACAATATAACCGAGAAGGGGCTGCCACTGTCTGGAAAATCTGTCCAGTCTTCAAAGGTAAGTGTCCCTCAGCACTGTGAGGGTGCCACACACCTGAGTTCACAAACAAAGTAAAGGTCTCTCAGCTTTCACAGACAACATGGTACTTGGTGACCCTTCCCCAGTCCATGAAGTTAGAAGTCTTTTTGCTATTACAGATGAAGCACAAAATGGGAAAAGCCACAGAAATCATGTTCAGGGTGATACCTGGCCGAGTGCAACAGAGAGCCATGAGCAGGAGCAGTTCAGCCCTGTCCTCCCTTTCCCCTGCACACTGGGGAGTGGGAGGAACTGAAGATCTCTAGGTGGAGGGAGGGGTTTGGCAATGCAGACATTGGAAATACCGAATCCCATTGGAGTCAGTTCAGCCCTGTCTTCCCCATTGACTAAGATAACCACCACTCCAATCAGGGATCATGGAGAATTCTCTGCAGAAGTCAGCACACCACAGAGGCTACAACACTAAAATATGCAGCCTGTAGTTCAGCCACTAGATTTGTAACATCACACGAGTTCTCTGTGGTATCTCTGTGTCTCAGTTTTCCTGCCTATGAAATGGGAACGAAGTCTGTCAGAGTCATTGCTAAGTGGTTTTCAAATCTAGCAATGAAAAGCACTTAGTAAAATCTGAACATTACTATTGAGTGTTTTCCACTAGGATTAACTCTCCAGCGTTGCTGAATAAAAGGTTGTGGCGAGTTGTTTGTGCACTGAGTTAAAATCATTCTGCAAGTTAAAAATAGTCAAGTTAGGTGTTTGGATGCTGATCAGGGTGTTTGGCATTGATCAGGGATAAAGGGATCTCCCTGTGTGAAAGAAGCCATAGGTGTTCTGTACACAAAACAAGTGCTTGTTAAGGAGCCTCAAGAATTTTCTTAACCATTGCTTACCAGCAAAAAAAAAAAAGTAAGTTTCCTTATATCTATACCAGATTATATCTAAAATTTTATACAAAAGCCTTTTCAACACAGAGCTACCTGAAATGAAACCAGTTAAGCTCAGCTGATCTTAGAACCTTAAAATTCTGATCATGTCCCTCCTGTGACTGACAAAAGCTGAGAAGCTTAACAATAGCAATCCAAACTTGATGGATCCGCTGCTTGGATATAGGTTACACTGAGTAAATGTTAGTCTTCTTTCTCAAAATACAGCTTTCCTCTTCAAGCAATCTAGTGTCACAGAATAGGAAAAGTGAAGGTTTTCTTTCTTACCAGACAAACTCAAAACACACAGCAAAATCAGAGATAAAACAAAAAATAAATTAGCGAGCTAATAAAATAGGTGCCCCAAAATTTTTAAATTAATTCATGTAGATTTACCTAGCCCTTATATAATACCATCATGGGAGAAAAAAACTCATCCCAGCATCCAGGAACCTGAAGAGCCTTGAACAATCAAAATTCCTGTTGGTGTCAGTTAATACCTTTGTATGACAATGAGGATTTTGAAGACTGAACTGCAAAAATGAGACCTTCAGGATCTCAAAGTGTTTGAGCCAAATACCACTGTGCTCAGAGGTATTCTATGTGTTGACTTCAGGACTGAAAAGATTATGAGAAAAGAAAATAGAACTTATTTCATGTATAGTCTTGTTGACATTCCATCCGTGTTTTTAAGCTGACATTTTCAGGGTGGACTAAACATACATTGCTGTTCATTTTTAAGGGTTCTTATTACAAGGATATAGAATAGCATAAGTTATTTGATTCTCAAAAATAGTAAGCATTGAGTTGTATCTGCACCTCAGTATAAAGTCAGTACATTTAAAGTTTTAACTAAAACTTCTGATAGCACACAAGCACATTTTACTGCTAATGTTTTAGAGTTGTTTCTGTGATAACTCAAATCTCTCACTCAAAGGAAAAGTACACAGTCTACACAAATTTATAACAGCTTTTCTAAATGAACAGCACTATAGTACTAATTTTAGCTATGAATATTATTGCTATGAACTCTAAAGACTTCTAATGAGATGCTATCATAACACATATAATTAAAAATATATCCTGTAACCTTTGTAACACAGTCTGTTTTCATCTCTGCATTTTTCCAGGGTTTATTTTAGACTGTGGGTGGAGCAGCATTACTTTTAAGAAAACCTAGAAACAGGACAGCACATTCATTCCTGAACACTCTCAAGATTTCAGGGAAGTGCCATTTAGAACACATTTGATCCAGTAATTTTTAATCTTGATATTAAACATCTCTCATTGCCCTTCTGAACTGGAGGAATGTCAGGAACACTTTTTTTAAACAGCAATCATCCAATTTCAGCTCAAGATATGTTATTCATAATAGTCATATTTTTTGTATTATTTGTATTTTAACATTCACCTTAATACTTAAGAATTATCCCCTTGGGTGATTCCCCCCTCCTCTCCATTATATGGATCATAATATATCACTAGAGTGTTCCTATACTAGATTCATTTAAGCATCAAGGATTTGAAAATACAGCTTCATCTTTACTTTCACAGTTTTTCCCGTTTTAGGGAAGAGCAAACTGTTCTACAGATTAAAAGCCTCCTGAAGAGCAAAGAGTAACTTTTGTACACGCAGCAGTCTTTGAACTGCCAGCTCCTTCAGGGTCAGCATCTGTTCCTTATGCAAATTTTAAACCAAGGATTAATACTCACAGTGTGTGCTACTTCCTTATTTTATAAAGAAATATGAAAGCCTAATAATCTCCAACTGCTAGGCCTCCTATGCAGTATTCCCAAAAAAAAAAACTGAAAAAATTAGAAGTACAGGTTTATACTTGGGTGCTATGACAATACAGTGATGTATAAAATAACTGTAGTCTCTGTCTGTTAAATGCAATACATACAACTTGGGGGAGGGGGGAAATTCAAGGAACAATGCTGCACACATACTAAAGGAAGAATGATTGAAGTCAAAGTAAAGAAAGCTTCCTGAACAATCCCTGCAACCAGCTTCTGTTCTGCTCCAACATTAATACCAAAGCCTCCTCCCAAACCACTGGAAAATGTCCAATTTTCCAATGGACAGTGGAGGAGAACAGGCACACTCTGGACCTTTCTTGCTAAAGGGTCCCTCCAAACACACTTCACAATACGCAAAAATACAAAGCAAATGTTCAAAATCAAAAGAGAATGTTTACACTGGGAATTCTGTAATCCCAGGGAGATAATAAAAAGGTTTGAATGTCCATACACAGTTTAACCCCAACTTGATATTCACCAAGATTATTGGCATGCCCAAAAACCACCTGGAGACCCGCAGTGGAATAGCACAGGCTGTTTCATGCGTGTTTTGGACCAGTTACATGCTGATAGAAGCCAAACTGGAGAGTAATGATGGGAAAGAAACAAGAGAGGGATTGGTGTCTGTTCCAAACTAGTTCAGGGTGGGAACATGAGGCATAGGGAAACTTCATTTAAGTATCAAGCTTTACTTTTCCAAGAGAAGTTGCCAAGGTCTCTGACATCATGAAGATAAAGTGAGTTTCACTCCTAACATGGGCTTGCAATCTTCTGCATTGGAAGCAAATCAGCAATGGAGTTGTACAAGGGCAAATTTTGACATTGCTTAATTTCTTTTTCTGGCAAACAAGTGGATTTGATAAAACCCAGTCATTTTCCAAATTCATTGCTGTAATTTTTTGTTTTAAGGTCAGGGACATTGTGTCTGCGTGTGTGTATGTAAATGGCAAAAATGCCTTCTGTTGTTGTGAAGATCTAAAATCAATTTGCAATCGTGTATATATGACTGATTACAACTACAGTGTTTGCATATACTGTTGCATGTCAAACACGATGTATAATCTAGTTTTCCTTTGTCTTTAGGTGTAGGCTATGCAGTGATACTCATAGCTCTTTACGTGGGTTTCTACTACAACGTTATCATAGCTTGGTCTCTGTATTATCTGTTTTCGTCATTCACATTTGAGCTCCCCTGGACAAACTGTGACAACAGTTGGAACAGTCCAAACTGTACAGATCCCAAACTCTTCAATGCATCAGTGCTTGGCAATGGTACTAAATACTCGAAGTACAAGCTCACTCCTGCAGCTGAATTTTATGAGTAAGTGTTGACTTGACTTTGCTTTTTATTCAAAATTCTATGTCTAAGAGTGTTTCCTCTTGAAGGTTAGTTAGCACCTAGCCTCTAGAATGAGCATCCGAAGAGTAAGGTTAAAATGGAGTTGTAATGTTGATCTGTGTTCCAGGGTGACTCTCTTGCCTCTGTGAGCTTTGGTTGCTCCTGTACTAATGCAGTACTTGCTACTGGGCACAATGGAGTTGGACAAGACACAAATCTTCTCTATGTACCACTTTTGCTTGCACTAGCATTGCCAGGGCAAGGAAACACAAGGACTGTTTCTCTACTTAAAAAATATTTCAGAGCAGATAGCAGATCTCTGTTTGCTCAACTGCTTCAATAGTTCAATGAAGCAAGATGCACTGAGCAGGAGGAGGGAGCCAGGTTATAGAAAGACAGGCTTTTACTGATTCCTAAGCAAGGGAGCATTAGGCAACATGAGTCAAAACAGACAAAGGCACACTCAAATCAAGCAGTTTGAATCAACCCCAAAAAGGTATATAAATTAACAACTGAACTAGAAAATAAATATATCAATCTGTGTATAACTATTTACATTATGGACCTCTAGGGGAAAATGGGATTTGATTAGGAGAACGAAAGGGGGATGAGCATCAGACTAATTGAATCAGCTGTTGAATTAATCTGAATAATCAGTTAATATTTCTGTGTTGGGAGTAAAAGGGTATCAGGGAATGCACCTGCTAAGCAGTGAGTCCAACCCTGCAGAAATAAAGGGACATTACTGTTACCATAAATAACCTAGTGTGTGTTACACCATGGCTGGCTATAGTAAGAATCTTGAGGTCTCTGTTTATAGCTCTGAAACATTTGTGGCTTCTGTTTCTTCTCTGAAGACAGCACAGCAAAAGATCAATGGTGATACACAAACTGTTGGCAGGGGTTTGGGTAAACTAAATTCAGTGCTCTGAAAACAATATGGGGTGTTGAGTTCAAAGGAACTCACTACAATGGCAAATAAAGACAGCCATGAAATCTGCTGCCCCTACAATATATGATGTGTTCACAAATCAAATGTAAAAGTAGATCATTTATAGCAAAAGCCTATATATACATGCAGTCAGAGAACCTGACTTTGAAGTGAACTATAAGAAACTATAAATTCTGAGTCTTAAAACAAAGAACTGCATTATTACAGAACTTTCATTTAAACATGTTTAAAAAGAGTTTCTTTAATTTTCTTGGGTTTGAGCCTTTGTAAAGCAAAATGCAATCCCTATATTCTTGCTTTGCCTTTTTATGATTAAAAGTGGTTCTGTGCATCTTCTGTTATCACATCACACTTGGGGCATGATTGTGCAGTGGGTGAGCTTGAGGTAGAGTGGGTTCATGATGTTTTTATTTAGTTTCACTGATCTGGGGAACAGCTCTATTTGTGACTGTCTATGACTGTCTGAAACCTGAAATATTTTGGTTCTTTCTTCACTGTGAAATAGATTCAAGGTGCAGTTTTCAGAAGGTAAGAATAAAAAGGGAATTTGACATCTCATTATGCTTTGATTGCTGAATTTTGGGGCTGTACTTAAGTCCCTAGGTCCTGTACTTATTAGTAGGTAGATTAAATTGCAAAAATGAGAAGAATAATCACTTAAGTAAAACAATCTATAACATGTTTCCTCAGCTGTAAAAACAGGGAATCACAAGGGGTATTATGTTTACCTGCCCAGTATTTGGATTAGCTCATCAAGTCCAGCTGTACAGCTCAGGTGTAGACCCAAACTTGTGCAAAGTCTCAGTGTTTTCAGATCCAACCTGATAAACCACATCAGAAAGCAGTGCTGCTTCTCTTACATCAAATAACCTGATTCATGCCCGTGGTCTTCTTACAACAGGAAGAGCTGAATCTTCTGATTGTAAAGTTTCCTATTTTGTGCCACAGGATGAGGGAATGGGAAGTGGTACAGCTTAAACATGGTTCTCTAGTTTGTGTACTTAGGTCAGAACACACACACAGAGTTTTGCCCTCTGGTGGGCAGGCTGAATGGGGAGCAGGGAGACCAGAAACACCAAACATTTATTTTGCAGCTGGAGAGTGATTGAAAAGAGGTAGTACCAAAACTGGCTGCAAGCAGAAGGATGGTGTGATTACCTCTAAACCAAACAGGCACTTCTTCTCTTTGGGACATGATTCCTTCACACTAAGTTGGCCTGACCATGAATGTAGAGTCGATTAATTCCTAAAACCCTGTAGCTGCCAGAGCTGACTGCCTCTATCTCCATCAGCACAGGAATAAACTGTAGGAGGAGGTGGGAGTACTGTGATGTGACATCACAGTTCATCAAATACTTCAAAAGAAAGGTACCTCAAATTCAGCAGAAATATGCTGGTTGTCACCACTTACATTGAGTGAGAGAAGGCAAAACTTGCAATCCAAATCTATCAGCTCTCCAGTATTTGACAGAGAGGGAAACCAGGAGAAATCATCTAAGCCTCAGACTTGGAAGAAATCACTTAAAGTTGCAAATTCCATGCCAAGGCACTGACAGGAGAACTTCCAAAAACATATTTGGCTTTTGTTTTCAAACCTCAAGAGTTGGATAGTAATTGAGGTTGAACTGGTTCTACACTGAGACCTTCAAGAGAGTTTCACTTTACTAAATCTGGTTTCATTTTTTCAGGCTTAATTGAGGCCAAGGTGACACTGATGTCACAGGGACAGTTTCCTACAACAGGAAGGAATGGAACCTCTACAATAATTCATTAGAGATGAATTATAAAATCAATTATAAAGTATTTGTACACTGGAAACTTAACAAAGCAAGCCAAGCCTAATAACAGCTGGTGCCTTTCTGCTAGTGATAGCCAGACATAAGAGAAACCAGTTAGGAATAAAATGTCAATTCCACATTTCTTTGGAGGCACACATCACTTTAATTACTTCCCTCTTCAGTGGTTTCGAATTAAACACAAAATGCAAAGAACCTTCTATCCTTTCACATATGTTAAAATAATTCATTATAAACCTTTTTTTTTTTCTGAAAAGCAGAAGTACATGACTGAAAAAAAAATCCCCCTACCTACTCCACATCACTCCTACTTAAATACTTTGCCTGAACACAGGCATATTTTACATTTGTTCTCTTCAGCCTTGTGTCCAGGAAAAGTTTGCTACCATCTTGCTTTCATTTATGCTGACAATTAAGAAATATCAGTTTGGAAGAACAAAACCACTATTCTTTTCATGAGGTACTGTGCCTGTAAAAAATCACAGTCTGTTGTAGGAACAAATCTTGGCAATTTTTAAGAAAAAACAGTGAAATTATCAACAAATATATTAAACTACAGCTACTTCCCTCTGATAGTACTTTTTCCTCAGGGCTGTAATACATTCTTTCTGCATGAAAAATAAAAAACACTTTTACGGGGAAATTTTCATGCCAGATTCAGTAAAGGAAACTCACAGAATTCACAAGTCTGCCCAGCTGTGAGTAATTGTAAAAACCTACCTAAGAAGAAGGAATTAAGACAAGACTCAGTCACAGCAGTCTACATCTATCATATTTATTAACATAAATTAGGAACCAGGAATGTCCTGAGAAAAACCTCAACAAATACAGTAAAGGGCACTTTTATAGACCAATAGGTTTGTGCTTTTGGGTGCAATTCTTCACCAGAAATGCCACCCCAGGCAAAGGGTCCACATACCTCAGCATCATGTCAGATGGAGTGACCAACACTATGTGCTCCAAAGGAAGATATAGGAACCTGTCCTCTTAAAACAACTGTGGAACAACTTTTCCCAAAAGAGATAACATCACTTCAAAAGTCAGCATAAGCAATTCTGCCTATAAATGCTTCTGAAAACTGAATCAGACAACAACAACTAATGACAGTGGATAGCCCTATATTGTGCCAATCACACGTGGTAAGAAAGGACTCTAAGTTCATGCTAAACATGGTCAGCGCTCCCAACGTCCACTTTTCTGGACAACAAACCTCCACTGCAGACATCTGAAGCTTAAAGGGTTTTCTTTATTCAACATCCATACCATATAAACTAATTAGAGAGCAAGGAGAAATTAAGAACCTCTCCAGACATCTAAGGCTTACTCATGTTTTGCATCTTAAGTGAAAGGAAATTTGTCAGATGTTTCTGAGAGGTTTGAAGTTGGGTAGCAGTCATCTGTTTACCTTCATAGAGATCACACAACCCAAGACTAAGAATTCTAGCCAAGTTCTGTACCTGCACCCCAGAAAATACCCTGAATGTAACAGAAAAAACATCCTATGATTTCAGTGGGTTTAAAATCTTGTACATTATTAAATACTTGGTGTGAGAGATTCATGGGCACATGGGTGAAATAGCAATAAACCAGCTGGTTTAGATATCAATTCGATATTAACTGCGCAGGCATATTTAAGAAGTGTCTGGCTGCATTGGTTACACAGCTTTAGATGGAGACTAATTTATTTCCATCATTGCAGATTGTCTATTTAATTTTGACCCTGCTGACATTTTGGACTCAAAGTAACTCAATCTTTCTCAGAAATTTCTGCTACAATTATTTATGTTCACAAAATAAATACACAGCTTTGAAATATATTTTTCAATATTTGTTCACATCTTCACATTTGTTGACCATTTACTTATGTAAAGAGAAAACAAATTAAATGAGAATACAGTGGAAGTCAATCCTTGTAAATGTGTACACCCATTCTTAGGCTTTGGGCAGCTTCATGGAAATGATTGCTAAACCACAACGTGCCCTTATGTAGCAAGTCCAGAAGACTTGAGGAATGACCACTTTGACAACAAGTTTGCAGTGGGTTTTTATGAGATATTGCAAATGTCAGGAGTTGCACATTATGCAGTTGGCCTGCTTTGTGCTAACTTGCAGGAGGAATTCTAAATGCTTAACTTACATACAGAATCCTATATAGTTTGGCAGCAGTACCAGTATTTACAGTCACTACAGTAGCTGAGGTCAGTGCTGCAGCACCTCCCCTTTATTGTCTTGCA